GGACGAAGACAAAAAAGGAGACATAGAATGCAAATGGATTACAGGGGACGCCGGAGCCGGGGGGAATGTTGGAGATGTGGACAACAAGGTCATGATGCCAATTCTTGTCCTAACTCGCACCCAGGAATAGATAGAAGACCTGTGAATGACAGCTAGAATTGAGAGTCATTTAATTTTCTTGCAAGTTATTTGGAATGACAATTGTTTAATTAGATGTTCTATAAATATTTGTATTGATAAATTCAGATTATAATGTTAACATTGAATTGTTCGGATTGTAATGTTAACATTAAATTGTTGGTGTTGGTGCCGTGATTGTGATGAAATAGATACTAGTTGTTGATAACAGGTTTTGGGATTGTGCAAAAAATAAAAATGCTCATTTTAAGGTTTTGTATAGGATTCAAATTGCCGAAATCCGACAGTAGGCGTATTGTATTACGTTCGGATTTCAGAAATCCGAAACAGGGCATATTGCCTGCAGCAAAGTACCCAGATTTTTGAAATCCGAGTCTTTACAATTTGTACTACATTCGGATTTCGGTAATCCGAATTGAGAAAATCATCCGGGAGTGTACAATTTGAGGAGAAACAGGGGAGATTCGGATTTTCGAGTTCCAGATTAATGAACTTGGATTACGCAAATCCGAGATTGACAGGGACTATGAATAGCCGGTCAACTCTTCCCCAATTCATTTTCCCCAATTACCCGTCCGGCGAAAACCCTAAAAGAACCCCCCACCCCCGACCGGCAACAGAAATTCGCCATTCAACCACTCCCCACCGTCCGACAACTCCTTCCACCACCCAATTGGAGCTCTCCTCCATCCGGCGACTCCTCCCAGTCCGTCAGCAACTGCAGTCCACCACCTCCATTGCCGACGACTCCTCCACATCACTACCGGTGACTAGGACATCCAACTCCTCTGCCGGCGACCGATTTTGCGGCGACTCACCTCCAAATTGAACTCCCGTCGGTCAGTGACTCACTGATAAGTAATTTTGTTTCTTTTTTTTTCCAATTTTTTTTCCCGGGATTAGGATTTCTGTAATCCGAATTATAAATGTCGAATCTATTACTAAATGATGTATAAGCATTTTCTTTACATTTTAAAGTTAGTGAATGTGTATTAGTTTGGTTTGGCCGAATGTGTATTAGTTTGGTTTGGCCGAATTTTTTTTTTTTTGGCCGAATGTGTATTGTGAATTGTGGTGTATTAGTTTGGTTGTTTTTTGATTCGGTTTGAGTGTAGTTATTTTGGCCGAATGTAGTTTTTTTTTTTTGGTCGAATGTGTAGGTTTTTTTTTTTTGGCCGAATGAGTTAGGGCATTGATGTTTTCTTTGGTTGCCTTGTGTAGGATTGAAATGGCGGAGGAGGCATCGGGCTCGCAATATGAATATCAACCTAAACATCTTCACCCGGGGCCGATACAAGATAAAATGATATATCATCAAACAACGCATAGGTTCCAAGCTGTCTATGAGAACAAGATTCACAACATTAAAACATTCCCCCTCAAGGGCCGTAGATACGATGACAATTTTTGGGGGATATACAAAAATACGGCACCGGAGGCTAAGGAAGTCATTAAGAGAGCCGGTTTTGAGGGGATAATGAAAGTAGGGTACAAAAAATTGGATCTCAGTCTCATTACAACGTTGGTGGAACGGTGGAGGCCAGAAACCCACACTTTCCACTTCAATTTCGGAGAGGCGACTGTGACACTACAGGATGTCGAGGTCCTCTTTGGTATTCGGGTGGATGGTGACCCGGTGTACGGGACGACAGTTAGCCGGAGTGCAGATGAATGGCAGGATCGATGTGAGACTTATTTGGGATTCCGACCAGCCCAAGTAAATGGCCAATGTGTCAATGTTGGTATTTTCGAGGATGAGATGGGTCGTGCAATCCCTGAGGATTCCACAGTCCAGCGATTCGAGCAAAGGGCCCGGACACTTATATTACATTTCATTAGCAGTTTCATGTTTCCTAACAAGACACAAAACACTGTCAATCTGCAGTTCTTGGCCCAGGTTGAGGATTTGGATCAGTGTAGTCGATACAGTTGAGGATCGACACTGCTGGCTGGTTTGTACTCTGGACTGTGCGAGGCATCCCAGTACACCATGCACGACGCCACTGGCTGTCTATATTTGCTACAGGTACGTATTAGTTTTCAATTGGTGTTATAATTGTTTTTTGCTTTCGACGTTGTAATTTGAAGTTTTAACATTATTATTGAAATTTACTAGGTATGGGCGTATGAGCGAATCGAGAGAATCACGCCACAAAAAAAAGGAGTAGATTATTTGATTGATGAGACCGCTCCATTAGCTCAGCGGTATGTATTTTCATTTCAAAATAACTCAATGTTTATTTCTATTTGTTTCTTATCCATCTTTTTAGTAATTCAAATGTACCCATTCGTGTTTGTTCATTAAGGTGGGAATATAGGTACACCTACAGAGACGCCCCAAGGAGCAGCACCCCACCTTTTAGAGATCAATTAACAAGCCTGTGTGTTGAAGATGTAAGTACTTAATTTGGTATTTATATTTATTTTGAATTTCTTTTCGTTCCGATTATACTATCTAAATAAATTCTTTTCGTACAGTTTTGGTGGCAACCATATGCAAAGGTCCTTCATAGACTCCCTGATTTCTGTAAACAAGGCCAAGCCATTTGGACGACCAGGTGTTGGATGTTCTGTTGGGCAACTAGGGAACCCCACGAGTCGGGCATAGTTGTGAGACAATTTGGATACATACATGATGTTCCCAAGCGCCCTATGATTAAAGATAACGCAGCATTTCTTCTCGATCACGCCCACAGTATGTCTGGGTATCCTAGCAACAATTTAGGTGGATCACCATTCCGCAGTACGTCGTCATTAGAATAGGAGAGAAGAGTACGTGCTACGAGATTTGGAGGAAGGAGACCCTGGCTCCGTATATAAGGGGTACTATGAATGATTCATGGTGAACACTGTCAGGCTGATATCCAATCCCAAAAATTATGAACCTGAAGGATACGAGACTTCTTCGAGCCGAGTGAAATTATATGTGAGTTCATTCTATATATTTTTTTATTTCTTATGTTTTCCTTTTCTTTTTTTTTCTTTTTTTTCAGAATTTTACTCTCTTAATTAACGACCCAATTTCTTTTCAAGGTGAAGTATTGAACAACATTCGCATGAGTTCCGAGAAGTTTAGAGAAAAATGAGAAGATGAGAATCTCCTAGACGAAGAACTCGACAAGCATTTGAACGATATCATCAATCAAACACATGCTGCTTTAACCCTGGGTGCAAATGATGAGATGGACATGGAGGATACCCAAATCCTGGTTGATGAAGAAACATCTTTGCCCTCGCAACATCCGCTGGGTAAAAAAACGAAACCGTGGTCGAGAGATAAGATTGGAGGAGGAAGAAAGAGAAAGGTCCCAATCCCCCCTTAGACATCGCAACAACAAACTGAGGGTCAACAAAATGAGGATCAAGCACATTCTTCTTGAGGCTCGCACATCCAGGTCGAGACTCAATTTGAAGACATTGGTGGACCCGAGACTCAGTTTGACCTTGGTGGACCTGAGACTCCGTTTGGTGGACAGTCGCAACTACAACCGGGAGTCCTATTTCTCACCATGGAGGAGTCCCAATCCCAACCCCAACCGCGTCAATAACAGGGTTCAACACTCACGTATCTTAAGAGGGGAGACAGGAACCGGCAGGGCCCAAATAAATACACTCCGAATGCGCATAATAAAGAAAAAGAGAAAAAAATGAGACATTTGATGTATTTTGCACATTTAAAGTAGTTTTTATATTGATTTTTGTTTGAAACATGATTTGTTTCGTTGTTAATCGAATGCGTTTATTGTTTCAATTAAATTTCTGTTTTCCAATGTTTCATTGTTGTCAGTGGTGTAAGTAGGTTTTGGACTAGTTAAAACCAGTCCATTTTTTTTTCAGTTCTGACATAGAGTCGGATTTAGAAAATCCGAACCTAGACTTTTTGTAAAGGATTCGGATTTCGCAAATCCGAATAGGTAGCCAACTGGGAGTTCCCAGTTTGCAGAAAACAGAGGAGATTTGGATTACGGGAATCTGAATCTACATACATTTAGATTACCGTGATCCGGGTTTACCCAAATTTAATTTTCCAATACTTATATTTTTTTCTATCCGAAAATTAATATTTTATTCGTAAATACGGATTTAAAAAATTTAGATTTAAATTAATTACACTAATTTCTGTCATTAACTTAATATCGGATTTACATAACACAAATTCGGATTTCCCTCATCCGAGTTTAGTGGAGTTCGGATTTTACAAATCCGAGTTTACCCCTGATTCGGATTTCTGAAATCCGTGATATATAAGTTTGTTCACAAAATTTTTGGAAAGTTTATTTTTTTCCAGGTATATTTAAGGAAATATATTTAAGGAAGAAATTCTATTTTATTGTACCAAAAAAAATAGTTCAAATTGAATTTGGAAATTTATACTAAAGATAGTACAAATATAAAAACACAATATAGATTATTTTTTTAGGATAATGTAAGATCAACAATAGTAAATATCTTCTAAGAAATTGTTGTTAAGTTTTAATTGATTTTTCTACATTTTGCAATTTCAACCCCTCAATCAAAATGATGTTACAAAAACCCCAAGGCGACGTTACCTTAGTAGTGTTGAGTATAGTTTTTTTGTGGGGAGAATACATTTATCAACACTTCTTTGTTGACGTATTTAAAGTTTTCTCCCATTTAGCATGGCTTAGAGAAGATATTTATAAAAATGGCTTTTGCCATTTTACTAGTTCTGTTCTGGTAGTAGAATCCTGGGACGCCAGTCCTTTAGTTTTTTTTCCCCTTGTAACTTTGGTTAATTTGGTTCAAAATAAATTTGAATGTTCAGCATATTATGTAGTTTTAATCTTTAAATGCAAATCAAATGAAAATTGAAGGCATCAGACACATTTTCAGGTTAGATGGGCGAGAGCAGTTAAAAATTAATCACATTTTTTCGCAAATGGAACACGAAATAAAACAGAGAAACTAGTCTCGGGAAAAGGTGACTTACAATTGGGTAAAATTAATTCAAATTAGCTCTTAGAAGGATGATAGTATAACTTACAATTCGTACAACATTGATACCTCGCAAAACAGTGAAGTAAAAGTTCATAACATTACCACCAAACCAAGACAACAAGACCACGCGGTGTAAAAATGAACTCTAATTGGTACTATCGGGTTGAACTTCTGAGCGCGTTTGTTGCAAGAGGATTCCTTCAATACCATCAGCGAAACTCAAGATGTCCTGCCTTTGGTGTTCATCTATGGAATTTGCCATATCCTTATTAAAGCAACAGGGAGTCTGATCAACAGTTTATTATGAAGAAATGATGAAACATGTACTAGAGTAACATTGTTTGGCTGCAAATGTTGACAAGATTTTTCCCTTTAGCCCATTGCTGTAAAGAAAAAATCTTGCCATAGTGATATACAAGCACAAAAATACCAATGGCCAATGGGGGTAGTAATCACGAGGATCATTACATTTGTTCATGGGAAGGAGCGGTAATACACTAACCATTTTAGTAGGTAGACTAATCTAGAAATGGCCAAAAGACATTCACAATTTTGGAATACGTAAAATATCTGCAGGAATCCCTATTGTTTTCCTGCAATTGGTATCTACTAATGAAGAGATGTAAACTGTAATGTAAATTAGCTGGTACCAACTGAGAACTCAAACTGCTAAACATGACTAGATTTGATTATAAAACTATGGACGAAAACTTAAGCTAACAAAAACAGTCAAGATTCCAAGAGATGCTTGGAACATATGAGCAGAAACCAAACAAAACAGTTTCCAGGACGGAATTTGCAAAAGTTTAACACATTCAAAAAGATATAACTGAAACACGACTTACCACAACTTTGCAAAGGAAACTGAGAGAAATTTCCTTGGAGTAGTTGCTTGAACTCTTGAGGGTCAGCAGACTCAAAGCCACACTGGATATAGGCCAACCTTGAGCAATTTTAATAAAAGCATCAATTCCACCAACCATATGAGCCACTATAATCTCATCTCTGTCCAAGTATTCAAATGAGTGCCTGCATTGCTAACAAATTATCATACATAAGGAACCACTCAAAGAAACCTAAAGCTGTAGTGGCATGCAGAGAAAGTGGCACGCAGAAAGCGCCGTCTGCTTTGAAATAGTTAAAAAGAACTGTAATGCTCATACAGATACTATAAAAAAACCATATTGTAAAATGCAGAAAATCCATACTGTAAATGTTTATTTGGAGCATACATGAAAATTTGCACTAACAAAAATGAAAGCAATTTTCATTCAAGATAATATCTCTAATTTACTAACGCTTCGATATGTTTGTTAGCCATCTTTAACTTTCACTGCAGTTGATTAGCATCAAAGGCCTGTTTTAGCTCATGGATGCAAACACTTGAAGTAATCATTAGTCCATTGCAACAAAAAAGCAATATTAAATACTTCCGTCACACCATTTTGCAAAATCGTATCAAAATCACAACAGCACATGTGCAATAAAAAGTCATGGATCTTTGTAGTCTTTCTTGTCATTAATGCTAGAAAATTCGATAAACCAGCACCTTTGTCTCTTCTTACTAAGAGTCTTTGAACTTATATTTTCCTTCTCAGCAGTAACCTTACGCAGAAATTAAAATTAACATTCTCTTAAGAAAATATTTGTAATTTAGTTCATGACTTTCTCATCTAGAAAAGGTTCCACTTAACATGGAACAACAAATGAACTCAGGGACTGCCAAATTCCTTTCTTCTACTTTTTCCCTTCATGAACTGTGTAACCAATCTAGTTATTATCAACCAAAAGAAAAAGGATCCCCTCATGCTCATCATAGAATTGTATATTTAAGAGAGCCCAAGAAAGATATCTTACAGTAGTATTGGTTTGTGAATAACAGAAGTTAATATGCAAAATAAACACGAAGGAGAAATTGAAAGTTCTTTTCAAGAGTGGTATTGGAGAAAAAGAAAGGGATTGTAAAGATTTTGATGTTGGAGGCACGTGATAGTTTTAGAGAGCCATCTTGTTGAGAGGAATTACAATAAGTTAAATAGGAAAACAAAGAAATATAGCGTTGTATTATATGAAATTGTAGTTTATACTTCCCATTCATAAAAACTTATGCAAAGCATGCATGAGGAAAATCCTTGCGGCTGACCTTGACTTATTTGCGCATTTTACAGCAAAGCACCTTAACGTGCTAATGATGATTCGATCTTGAACTCTTCTGACAAACCACTCTAACGAAGATCTGCTGTCCAATGCTAGCAAAGTAGGATAAAGCTGTCTGCCATCAAAACAATGAAAACAATTTCCAATGATGGAAAAGCATACAACAGACATAAACAGAAGCATAATATTGGTTGATTTGGAAAAAAACTTTCACTACACCTCTGTTCTTTAAAAACAGAGGTGGAGTAAAACACGCAACAACGAACCAACCCCTCTCCCACTACTAGGAGAAAAAGAAATATCCGCAGTTCACATGAATACTTCTGGTACTCAGAAGTTATGTACAAGGATGAAAGAAACACATTATCTTATTTGTGAGTAAATAAAGTATGCTATCATTTTTTTTTGTTGTAATTTCTGAAATTCTCAGCATACTACCTCATGGTTCAGAAATCCACAATTACCACCCTTATGCTTTCGACTTTACTCTAATATGGACAAAAGGTAGAACCTTTGGCTGAAGTGTATATGTAATATGCCAAACAAGTCATTTATGTCCAAATACTGTTGATGTAAACCACTTCTCTGATAAAAGTGCCCTGGTTATTTTGTTTAAATATCTTTCCATGCTACGAAGGAAGTGAAAATGGCATCTACATGGAACGGGCAGATATTTTTGTCAATAAAATGACTTACATCATTAGTATTAGGGCAAAACTTGCTCAACAAATTCCTGGAAGCTTCAGTCAATTGTTAATGTTTTCCATCAGTTTAACAGAACCTACCACAACATAAGGGGATAATTGGTGTTTTCTGAATGATAAGAGAGTAACAGAGAACTCCTAAAACTATAAAAGGAAACTGCTTTTTTATCTCATGATGAAGTGAAAGAGAAATATTCTTTGCTATGTTTTTCTATGGCTAAGAGATGCAGGCCTTAATCATGGTGTATACAGTTAAGTGATTAGTTAATGGAACATATAAAAGCAAATAAACAAAAACAACATTAGGAATCAGTAAGAATCATACACGATTTGAGCAATGTAAACAATATAAAAAGGAATCCAGGTAAATCCTGTGAAAGCAGGGCGGCACAAAACTTTGCCAGTCACTAGTTGAAGAGAGTGGCAACAACATAAAGTACAGAGCAAGAAATTACCATATGCAAACAACTTCTTGAATTAGTTATTCGAAATAAAACAAAATAAGTGAAACCTGAATAATAGTAAAAAAAATGGAATATAAGCATACCTGAAAGACTTTGCCACATCCACAATTTCACCAATATATACATCATTGGGGAAAATCTGATGAAGTCATGAAAATATCATAATGAGGACATCGTGAGCAAGTAAAAAACAGAAATTATGCACTTACTACCTATGCATAATAAAAAATAAAAAAAAAATAAAAAAAAAACCTATGCATAAGCTCTAAAATCTGATGAAATGAATGGGAAGACAGAATAACATCAGAAAAAGATCAATTAGTTATCATATGAACTCGCCACAAACCTATATGTCGAAATCCTAAAAGTAAACTGAAAGCAAAACGAAATATTCACTTATCATCGTGAACTTAGTTATTTATATCCACATTTCTCAGGAATATCATAAAACGGCTGCATTCAGGCATAAGATCAATACAATTTCTATTTCTACTACACAGTCCCCCCACAACGCGGTTCTCAAGAAGTTAATGATGCTATTGCATGTTGCTTATCAACCTACAGGCTATACATATCCACCAGCAATCCTAAAGCTTTATGCTCATATATCGATGCTTTGGCTTCTGTTAGAATAAGATATAAGTAGAGCCAAAAAAATAAATAGTTTCAGAATCTCAGTTAGTGAAACACAAAGAAAGGAAGAAATTCAAAAGATAATTGTTGTCATCAATGAGGACAACAGACATATTACCAAACCGAAATATAGTCTCAAGGTATTGTGTCTGCCAATATAGATTGTCTAAGTTCCTAAAGCATATAGTAGTACTGCATTTTGAGAAGGGATCCATGACTGCACATTCTTGAATTACATCTCTTTCATTAACAGGGAGAAGGTAGCAGCACCAAGGACAAAACTCAAATGAAGGTGACAGTAAACAGATATTTGACATGGTTTATATTCATAAAGAATGGACAGGAACCTGCCTCCGCACTTGAAAGCTCCATGGTCCCATCAAGAAGTTCTATAAGCAATTCGTGATACTTTTCTGATGGTTCTATGAGATCTTCTACCTTTTTCAGGCACAAAATGCTTTCTGCCGCAGGGATATATGTTTTTAAGGACAATCTCAACAAGTTCCCTTCAAATTCTACAACTTTGAGACCTGAAAACGCATCCTCAATCTTTTCTACGGCTTCGAATCTTGAAAAAAAAGAATATTGAACACTTAGAACCATATTCGGAAAGAGAAAGTTTAAAAATTTTAACAATTTGAGTCTCACCTTTTGATTTTGTGATCAAGATCTTGCAAGGTCTTCAGAGTAACTTTATTCTTCTCAATCTGATGACTGAGTTCTAGAACCTTCACATCCAAAGGATATTTTAGAAATGGCATTCAGCATGTTAAATGAGACCAAACTGAGCAAAAAGCAGCAAAGAAGCATATCACTTTGAATTATATTTCTTTTCCGAAGAAACACGTTTTAATTCAGATGGCAGCTAGTCTATAAGTGAAAAACGAGGATGATATAAATAAAAGGGAATGATGCCTGCATTTTCATCTTAAACAGTACGAAACAACCAAGTGCTAACTGTAAATTAATTAACTTCTTTAACCAATTAAATGACCCAAAAGAGCCAAAAGCAGAAGTAGTTGGAGAGGTTATAGAGGTCATAAACCTTAAAGTTAGAACCTTCACATGTCTTGAACATATTATCCTCATCCTTGCCGTGTGTAGAGTAATCCACCTGAGAACCAACATCTCTTGTTTGTAAGCCCTAAAGACATGTCAAGAAGATGAGCTTCCAAGTCAGAACAACAATCCCATGCGTTAGGCAATTACATACCAAACCGACTAATCATATCTTTATGATGGCTTAAGAAGGATGAGTACCTACATGACTCAATTGGCTTCAGCAAAAATCAAAGAACCAAACCAGATACTGGAAACAGAATATGAAAGTGGGAATCTCTTCAGAAATGATAGCAATCTTGACGTATGAAATAAGTCATCTGGCTAAAATTCATGAAGCAAGAAATTTTCCATCGAGCTTATGTAAATTTAATACGACACTTGGGGAGCAAGGACAGAGGATAGGGACTTGGGGATGGCCATCTGCAGAAAGGAATAAACATCTTGCCCTCAAACTCATTTCTAATGCCTAGTCAATTTGTTGCAGTTAGTCCGTACAAATGATTATTGAAAGAGGTTCAAAAGTCAGCGGAACCAATCCTCCAACACACAGAAAAATCACTACAACATTTCCTTGTTGTTGCTATGCTAAGAAGAACAAGACACCCTTAGTGACAAATCTATTAGATTACTTTTAAGGTTCTGCTAACAAGATGTAGCTAGTTCCCTAAAACAAAAGGTAATTAAATGATAATAAATTAAAATGGAGGGGCATGAACCTTGGATTAATCACCTATTGAATTACCATACAGCATAACGCTTACAATAAACAAAGAACATCCAACACATTCATTAATCATGCGTAGAGCAGAAATCAAGCCTGAGCTCATTACCTGCTGCTCGATAAAATCCAAGGAACCATTCAAACCTTCAAGCTCACACTCAAATTTTCCAGAGTCTGCAGCATGATGAATAAATAAATAAATAAGCAGAAACAGAAACAGAGGAAAAAAAACCAAAGGCAACAACCACACATGAAAATGAAAATTCAAACTTCAGAGTCTACAACCTTCCTCATATCTCCTTGAAAGCTCCTCAATTTCATTCTCAATTTTAGCATTTTCATTCTGTGCTGCATTCAGCTCTTTCTTCAAATGCTCCGAGAATTCCTCTAAAATTAATACATACAATCAATCAAATCAACACAAACAGAAATCTTCAACAACAAGCATAAAAAGTAACGACCTAAAAGAAAAAGAAAAAAGAAAAAGAAAAAGAGCAGCAATAGCAGGTACTTACCCAAATCTTCCATGGATAATGAGTTAATATCCAAAGTATCAGACATCATTTTATCCATCTTGCTCTGTGCAATACATTCCAAAAACCCCGAAGAAAATGAAAATCGGCATCTAGAATTTGAAACTTGAAATACATAGAAAAATGTGAAAAGAATTTCTTTTGTTAAACCTAATTCTGCCTCTCCACCAAACTTACCCCCAGTTCATGAGAGTAGTCATTACAGAGCTTTTCCAGTTCTGAAGGGTCGATTTGGGAATCTTCCGTACAACTTCTATGAACATCTCTGAGCTCCGCAACTCGACTGCTCCCGTAATTCCAGTACATAAACAACGAAACATTGAAATACTGAATTATGTAAAGATTTGCAAAAAAGAATAGTGAAATTTGAGTGAATAAAGAACTACAATTACCTTCGAAAAGTTTCAAAATCCATGGGTTCTGATGATGATGAAGATGCTATTACAATAGCATTTGAATCCATTTTTCTTTTGTTTCTCTCTGTTTGATGTAAGGATTTTCTTCTTCAGGTCAGGTGCTCGTGAAGATTCGTTCCCCCGCCATTGCTGAAATATATAGATTGGGGTTTTAAGAATCCGGGTTCTTTAAACACCCGATTACCCGGCCACTTTCAGGAGCACCTCAATGAATTATGCGAGCCATCCTCCAACTCTATACCACTGTATGATTTCACCCTAAAATGTTCTTAAAAATGTTAGTTGTCAGAGTTTTTTTTTTAAAAAAAAAAAATTGGATGGCTCCAGCAAAAATCAAAGTCTCGACCAAAGTTTGGATTGGATTTAGTATGTAAATTTCAACACAACTAATGCGTAATTTATTGCCATTTTAGTTTGAAACGATGTTTAGAATGTAAGAATAATGATATGTGCAAGGAACAAATTACAAGAAAAAGTGCGAAGGAATTATGTGAATTAAATCAGATTCACTGAATTTTGTACTTTCTATTTAAGATTTAAGTATGATTAGAATGATAGTTTAGATCTCAGACACATTATTCATTGTTATTTTCCTTGTAATTTTTTTTCTGTGTGTGTATCACTACTCAAAATGCAAAGAGTATTGTTGAAAATTTTAATTTCTAACATTATATATTACCACAGTTTGATATTTTGATAAATGGAGCAATGTAGTTTGATTGAAAAAGATGCAAAGAATACGTATCACATGAATATGTACAGTACAAAAGAATTTATCGTAATATAATTTTCGCATTCTTTTACTAAATAACAATATATATTATATATGGGAAATTCTATGGTCCAGTAATAAGTTTTTGACTGAACCATTCAGTTAAAATCTATCCAATAAAAATAGGATACACAATATGTGACTACGGGGTCTGCAACACCATAACGAAACTTCATTAATTTTTTATTAGCTATTTAGATAAGTTACTGAATTTTTTTTAATAAAATTACTAAGATAAAAAGAAATCCAACTAAATTTTCAAGGCTTGCTTTGTTTACTAATTAATCTCCCCGCTCGATTAATCTTCATTCCAATATTCTAATTAGGAGAATGTTGATTTTCTTTCTTACCTACACTTCCATTTCCACCATTATTATTTATTTTCACATTCTTCACCTTCATCTTGTTGTTGGCTTGATAGCAGCAATTTACGGTTGACTAAGCGCATTCATCTGATGGGCTTTCTCCCTTATTAGAAACCATATCTCATCCTCCTCATCGTCATCAAGAAGACAGTCCCCATCCTCCTCCAACTTGATGAAAAATTGCTACAGGTTATTGAAAGCCTCAAGCCCTTTGACCATTTGTTGCTTTTCACCCTTATTATTACTTTTTTTTTAAAAAAAATGATTATTACTCTTGTTGTTCTTCAAATAATTGGACATTTTTTTCTTCTGGTTTTGCTTTTTTTTATTAGTCTTTTTGCGGCCATTTTCTCAGAAAAAATATACAAATTACTACTCAAATAAATCCATCCTCCGGAACTTACATATTCTTTCCTTGTCCCGTTAAATCATGTACAACAAAGGAATTAGGGGGTAATGCAAAATCCAGCCAACAATAGCCTCTAAATTCTAATTCACTCAGGAGTAGATTAACTCAAAGATGGTTGTTTATCCCTACTGTTTGTTCCCAAAAAAAACCCTGACACAGCCATACTTTTGGAGAGTTACACAATGAATACCAGATTTAATAAGAACAAAAAAAAGATGCTTCACATCAGCGGCGAACATGGGTGTATCGGAAAGCACTGGAACCATCTCGGAGGTCACCGTAACGGTGGAGCCGCATGCACCACCATATGATCCTCTTCGACAAGTAGCATAAGCCAGCCGGTCGCTATTGAGCCTAATCATATTTCCAAAAATGCAGAGAAGAAAATCAAATTAGCTGGCAGTGCTGTCTTTCTTGTTCATTTTGCCCAAACTGTAATTTTTGTTATAGCAAAAAAAAAAATTTTCATTTATTTCTGTTTGGATGTTCGAATTTTGTTTCAATGGAACCTCTATTGGAGAAGAAATAATAATGATTTTTCTTTGCACAAAAGAAAAGAAAACCCTCGATGAGGGCATGGGTAAAAATTATGAAACAATTTTATAGCGTGAGTAGCTCAACCGAACTGATAATTTACTAGAAACATTGTAATTATCAGGTGTGGTGTGGACTTTTTAAATTTTAAAACATCTCATTTTAATCTAATGGTTGTTATTAATCATAATCATCTGACGGCTACCAATGTTAACTGGACCATTTAGTCGACTGGACTGTAGTCGGTCCCATGATATATATATGGAAAATTCTGGAGTCCAGTTGTCATTTTTTGACTGAACCGTCCAATTAAAATTTAACCAATCAGAATTAAGGGGCATAAATGTGTTCATGGGGTGAGAAACATGGTAATATATTCCAAAATAATTTTTATTAAAAAAATTAAAAAATATATATACATATCACCTACTAATCAGGAGTTTTTTTAAATCAAAATTTCAACCTTTTTCTTAAGTCATAGTGAAGCAGCACAGTTTCGTGTTTCGAATCGACAAAGAGTACTCCGCGGGATTTTTGCTCTATTTCCTAATCTCGGCATGATGGTATGCTTGTTATAGTCGGGGCAAAATTTCTTTAATTCCAATTTGCCGGTGATGACTTCTTCCTCCATCGCTTCCTTAAAGTGGCCGATGATTCCGGATATTCTTTAGCAAAGTTGCGAAGAAGAGCCTTTGCCCTTAAAGTAGCTCAAATTGGTTAATTAATGGCAATATTGTGGAACCCTTTTAAATTCATTAATTCCTTGTGTTGGATATTGAATTCATTAATGAAATACTAATTGTTGATTAGTGGGCACTTCTCTGAGGTGTTTACATATTTAACTTAATATTTTTCAACTGCGAAAGACCATCCATCTTAGCAGATTCAGCCATTATCATCTATCTAAGCAGCAGAAAAAGTGTACAAAACAAAATGAAAGGTTGTAAGGAAAAACGCAAATTATTAACATTATGAAGAGAAGAAATTATGGGACAGTAAAGAAATACAGAGTTCCTCACTTTTGAGTATTTTTAATTTAAAGGTAGCTTTTGACAACAATGTACTATGCATTTCCTTATTGAAAGCACATACAAAAAAAAAATAAAAAAACAAAGGCCCTTTTTGCAGTGCAGCAAAGCATGACGACCAAGAAGTTAGCTTCGGCTAGAGGACCAAGAGTTGGCCTCAATCCAGTTGAAAGCAATAGGACTCAAGAGCGCATTAGGAATGCCAAAGCAGCTGACTAAGGAAAGTGCATGGCAGCATTCGGTCTCAGTTCATTGCATAGTTTTGCAACTTCTTTCCTCACTCCTGTAGCATTATGTATTGAATTGAAAAGATATCTGTAATGCAGGAATGCAACATCTTTTTCAAAAGTAATCAGGCATTACATGAATCTCGAAAGACCTAATATTCTGTGCAAAAGATTCAAAACCAATGTTTCTTGAACTGTCAGTTGATGTTAAATCAACTTTATTAACAAATGACTCTATTCATGTAATCAGACACTATTTAAAGCTCTACACTTTGATTCGTACAAGGATTTAAAGTTCTACGCTTTGATCCGTCGGCCTCCAATAATGCTTTTTGGATGATTAAATGACAGTAGTTCATCTTGAAATTAGAAGTTAGCATATATATGATACTAAGTTTCAATATTATGAAAAGAACAGAATGTGCTTCAAAGCACTTTCTAATATCATTATCGAGAAAAAAAACTAAAGAAGAACAGAAAACCTATATTTCTGAGTCATGACATACCATACATTAGGACACAATAAATATAACAGATTCAATATCCACACATCCGTACAAGATAACAAACCTTGCAAGGCTAATGTAATAGTTTAATTCTTCTAGCTTATTAGACCTCTTCCATCAGAGTCTCTTTTTCCTGACAGTAGACAATAATATAGTTCTTGTATGGTTGAGACTTGTGGGAAAAGTAGGTTTTATACAACTACTTTAAATCGTCAACTACGGAGTAACGAGACCACGATCAAGAAACTATCAACAACAACCGAGCTGCATTTGAACAAAGGAAAAAAAAAAGTGTAATCAATAATGACACGATCAGATTTTAGCTACATGTTTCCCATAAGTTTTGCAATTTTTTCTTGTTCCTCGAGGGCCTTTCTAATTCTCACTTCAACGGCCCTTGCACTGTCAATTTCTACACATGCAAAAGATCTTTCTTGGCATCCTCTGAAGCCTGAATGTAAGAGGATTGAATCTTTTAGAAGATGAATACAATGTACATCAACATGACTCATAAAATTATGAGACAAAAACGGCAAATTATAAAAATCTCAATTTGCAATTGAAGACATGAATAGGGGATAAAGAGAAAAAAAAAAGAAACGTAAAATAAAAGAAAAAATAACAAATATTAGTTCAGTAAACTACATCTTAAGTTATTGGATCAATTAATTTGATTTTCTCCTTCGAGAAAAGTTGAAAGATACTCAAATTTTCAATAATGGTAAATCAACTATAGAACATAAATCCGCATAAACCCTTATAAAATAACCCTATGTTTCTCAATTTTGATTGCTTCTTTGATTGAATGGATTAAATGGAGACAAGAATTATAAATAAATTGAACGAGTAGAATTATTTCTCATGAACTCACAAAGATGTGTGTCATGTTCTTCACAACACTGGTGGTGTAGTTTTTTGCCTTTATCAAATAATTTTTTTATACATATAATTAATTTGGGTAATTAATTAGCAGGTTGGTGATTTAGTCGTTATAATCAGGTGTATTTGCATCTATTCCTTCACAATACACCTTTTTTTTTAATCCTACGTTCATTAACTATTCCAGTTTATCCACGGTGATTAATCTATGACTGAACCGTTCAGTGGACTGGACTGTAGTCGCTCTCTCTCTCTATATATATATATATATGTTCATACATATATATTGAAGGCACGGGATCATAGAGGTATCTTTGGTAGAATAATTAACCATTTAGCGAGAAAGAATGGTCGGGGGTTGAAGTATGATGGAGAGAACAATGTGGGTTGAAAAAGAAGAGAAAATAGACTCCAGCCATTGTTGTTATGGGATTTTTAGGTTCGATGTTAGAGTGGAGATGAAAGCATGATAACAATGACAACTTCTCATTTATGTGACTAGTTTGTGCAGTTGCACAGATTTACAAATTTAACTTGTTCAGAGATTAGGAAATAACATTTGACAATCGATCGACTTCCAACCTTGCAATGGTGTTTCAGTATATAGGAGACATTAATATAGTAAA